TGCGGGGAGAGGGCTGGATATTTGATTCAGGTCAAAGGAATCATGAAAAAATATCATTTGATTTTGCCAAGACATACTATATCATCTGTTTTATGCATAATTAGAACAAAAATTTGCCTTTCATTGATTCAAAACACTCCTAATTTTTTTTTTATAAATTTGCCAAAATAAAAGCAAATACACTGTAATTACTGAAATTCTATTTTTTACTTTAATAAAATACAAAAATATCTCATTTTAAGGTGTTTTTTGAAGAAATGCTGGTTGATCTCAAATTTTTTGTCTATAGTCTAAATCCATGAAAAAAAACAAACTCCTTTCAGTCTTTTTATTAAAATAACAAATACACAATTCTTTTTAAATTTATTTATTTGTAAACAATGTAAGTGATTTTATATTTCAAACTGAATCCATCATAATATAAAATGCCCATGGAAAAAACAATGTGAAGCCTCATTTAATTTGACAGTTGTGAGTAATATGCAAACTATCAATTTTTGTACAGAAGCAGGGTAATATCTCAAGGTAGACAACTTTTAATATAAATAATTAAAGTTATTTCCCTTGAAACATTTTTCAACGTTATGACTTGTTATTGTGCGTCAATAATTTTTCAATTCATGCAGTTGAAATGAATATTGATGAGAGAATTGTTGACTTAGAAAATAGTGATGATTTATTATTTGTGCCATGTTCTCGGTACAGTTGCACCGAGAACATGGCACAAATAATAAAAAAATAATAAAATAATAATAAAAAAGCACAACAGGAAAATTATCAACAAACCACACGAACAAATTAAACCCATGTGCAACTGCAGAATAAAGAACAAATGTCCCTTAAACGGAAATTGTTTACAAAACAACATAATATGCCAAGCCATGATAAAATCACCAGATAATGAAAAAAAGTATACATAGGAGTAACTGAAGGACCCTGGAAACAAAGAAATTATACATCTTTCACAAATAGTAAATATGCGAACAGTACAATGCTTTCTAAGTATATCTGGGAAATTAAAAACAAAACACACATCACACCAAAAATATCTTGGAAAATAAGGAAAAGATCATCAGCCTACAACAACCAATCAAAAACTTGCAAACTTTGCTTGGAGGAAAAAATAGCTATCATTACTTTCCCAGACCAAAATAAATTATTAAATAAAAGATCCGAGCTCATCTCAAAATGCAGACATGAAAACAAATTTTTACTACGTTACTTAAAAATCAAAAACGGACAAAATAAAATAAAAATAAATAAATAAACAAATAAACAAAATAACAATAAAATAAGCAAAATTAATTAACCCAAACAAATTACCAAATCACACCAGTTAGAATAGATGAAATAGAATAATAATAATAAAAATAACCCAACGAACCCAAATAAATAAAGTAAATAATAAACAAATTAGCAAACCATTATGACCAAAATATTAGTTAGACTAAAAAAAATCAAACCAAAAAATCGGACGAAAAAAATAGCTATAACTGTTATATAACGATAAAAAAAAAAAAAATACTATGTTACTTAAAAATCGAAAACCGGAAAGAGAAAATATACAAATAAATAATAACAAGTAAAATAAATTGACCTAAATTCATCCAAATAAATAAATAAACCAATCCCGATAAACTTACTGTTAGAAAAAACAAATAAAGATAATCAATCCAAATAAATGCAAATTAAAAACTGTTCCCGCCAAAATAATAGTTAGAATAAACTGCAACAATCAACCCCAAAATCGAACAAATAGCTTTAATTAAGTTCTCAAACCAAAACAAAACTATTAAATAAGTGATATAAACAAATTTTTACTACGTTAATAAAAACACAGATTAAAAAATAAATAATATATATATATATATATATATATATATATATATATTGCTAGACACAATTGTTTCTTCATATATGTGTATGTTCACAGTGTGTTGTACTGCAAAAATGAAGCATGCATGCTGACTGTGCAAATAAAGAAAATAAATTATTCGGTTATGTTAAAATTATTAAGAAAGAAATACAAAGCAGAAGAACCAAAATATTCATCCAAGTGACACAATTTGCTTTTAGAAGAATTACATATCAATATTTTCAAAAATTAAGATTAATGCTCATATTAAAATTCAAAAGAGTATTTCTTTACATCATTACCAGTGCAGTTTAAATTATTAATTGCAGTTTACACTTACCTGCACCAGGAATCTTCAGAAAATTATTAATCAATTAATAATGATGACAAAAAATTGCTTTTACCTCTTGTTTCTAATGTACCAAATATGTCCAGTATTTTCCTTAATATTTAATGGATACAATTTTAATAGCAAAAATGATCTGAATAGTAAAATTTTAATTTTAATTAATTGAAGCTATTGACAAAGTTACTGAATAATTCACATTAGTTTACATCTAAAAGTATTTTAGAGTGCATAAACTTAAAAGCCTCAACTATTTTTCTTTCCTCTAATTAAAAAGTGCATATGTGCATATAGGTGTGTAAGAATAGGAAAAGTCTTTTCTTATCTGGCAATACATGTGTAAAAATAACAGAGTTCTTAAGCCATTTCTTCTGACATGAATTAAATGCTTTGAATTTTACCTGATATAAAATAATTTCTTAATACAGATCATGAGATGTTAAAATCATTTTCCAGCTATAGCTTATAAAATGGAAAAACTTCTTGCTTATTATGGGTTAATTAAAAATATTGGGGCATAATTTTACAAAGTTGCAGAAAAAAATAACACATATTCATTAAGAAAACCACATTGTTGAATAAGAAAAAGCAGAGTTATAAGAATCTTGTCCATCAAGCAATTTTTAAATATAAATAATGAAAATAGATCTGTAAATCATACTTCAATGTAATCAATATTTGTTAACCATCCAAAAAATTATGACTGGAAATAAAATTAATAAACATTGTAATAAAATTGCTCACATTTTACTGTTTAATATTAATTACTTGAAGGTATTTTAGGATTCCTTTCATTTTTTACATAGAAATGAGTTATTGACAAAATGTGACTAGTTAATATTAGGGTGTTTGGAAAGTAATTATGTATTTCACTGCTGTGAAATATGACTCAATCAATCAGGGCAGAACCAAGATTGAATGGTAGAAAACTGTGTCAAGAATTAGATTATCATCTCTTCTATTTGACAGTGTGTCATAGTGCATTTCAGAGTTAAATTGGGAAAACCTGCAAAGGAAGTAGCTAACACATTCTACCATTTGCAGCAGTCTTTTGACCAGTAATGCCAATCTTTCATTTTTGCATCACATTGTTACAGGCGCATGTCAACAGAAAATGAAAAAGAGAGTGGTTATCACAAAATGAGAAACTAGTGCTAACACCAAAACCAGGACACCATCCACAGAATTCTTTGATTTGTGTCTAGTGGAATATGAATAGTGTCATTGATTATGAGCTATAGAAGCATATTAGTAACATAATGGTTTATTGTTGGCAACTTGATTGGATAAATGGAGCATTACATTGAAAGTGTCCTACTTTGGTAAGTAAAAAAGGTATGATATTTGCAAAACAATCCTAAGGAAAAATATTATAAGGATGGTAGATGCTTCCATATTCTCCATGCTCATCAGATTTAGCATCTATAGATTTTTATTTACTTCAACCCCAGTAACATTTCCTAAGTGGCAGAACATTTAGAAAAAAAGAAGTTGAAAACAGTCTTTCAAAACTTTTCAGGAAATCTTTAAACATAGAATTGAATATTTGCCATCTCATTGGCCTGCAATCATTGGAAATGAAGGTGATTATATTTTTGAAAAACAATATCTAAATAAATTTAACTTACATTTATTTTCTTGTAGAATATAATTAATTTCTGAACACCGTAATATTTTGCACTTTGTGCTTTAATTGTGCATTCAGAGTCTGAGACCCAAAAAGAGGAAGGTCAGTCATTAGTATGCTAATTGCCAGAGGATTGAGGAATCAGGTACATGCATTGAGCTCTGTGATTGAAAGAACACAACATTTAAACATTCATATGTCATAAATGAGGCATGTAAATCTTAGTTGTTAACATAAATAAACAAAAGAAAAAAGTACATTAATGCAAAATTCTCTGTATTAATAAATAAACTTATGAAAAAAAAATGTTGGTGATGTCTTGGTGGAAAATAGTTAAGTATTTCCTAGATCAGGATATAGATGTGATCATTTTTTTGCAAGTAATCTTCCCAATAGACATTTGCTTTCATCTATTGGTTCTTTATTATAGAATTAAAGTTAGGGATGTTAAGGTAGAGATTAAAATAAGGTACATATCAATTAATTCCCTACTTGATGAGAGCAAAGATGGCATCTAATCAAAGGAATTGATTAATTTTGAAGCTCAGATAAACTTGCTTATCCTTTCCCTACTTGGTTGTGAACTGATTTTAGGAAGATCAGCAAATCTACAAATATCAAAATTTCTGTTTAATCCAATGAATGATTTTAGAGAGGAGCTCTGTATTAAGGTTAAAACTGAGACTTACAAGGGAACATTAGAAAACTTTTCAAGCTGATATCAGACTTTACTGTCAGTATGCTCTCTGAATTCCTACTCTTCTTTCTAAATTAGATATATTATCATTGTCCAAATAATAGCTGCAGTTTGCCATTATTTTCTTTCATTTCTGGCTAATCACACATGTTCCTGCAGACAAATATGCCTCTACCAAGCTTGTTAAAACAATGTTTTTTTTAATTATACATTGTCAAGTGAATATTTATTTTATTTATTAAAGTACTCTAAATACGTTTTTTCAAAGTTAATTACTAAGAAACAAATTATATATATTATGATTCCTTGTTAATGCATTAACTAGTGAGCTATTCATTCTATAGCCATAAAATTAAGTGTGTTTGAATTAGTATTGGAATTCTTTGAAATAATAATGGTGATGTTTCACTGCAGATGATTATTGGAACCAAGGAATTGGCAGCGTCGTCATCGCTTCTCCAATATTCATCAGCAATTACCCTGCAAAAACAAAAAACAGCTTATTTGATTACTTCCATAAATCTAGCCTTGTTTATATGTTCAAAGTATAAGCACATCAATTGTTTTTTTGTATTATTTCAATTATTTGTCAATAAATAGAATCTGTAAAAATTCTATACATACATTTTTCAGTTTCATGTGAGAGAAAATTGTTATAAACAAATTTCACAGTCTGACTATCATTTTGTTCCCAGAACAGCAGTGACACCAAAAGACAAAAGTTATGAAAAATATAGACAGATAAAATGGAGGACAGTAATTAACATTATTTTATAAGCAGATAAAAAGAAAATAAATAGATTTTAAATAATACCACATTAGCCTTTTGTTTTTTTTTGTTTTTTTTTTTTGTGGAGATTGCTATTTCTAAATAATGATTGAGATTTGATATAAATGAAAATATGTAATAGATTATTTATTTCTTACACACATAAAACATTGTAATGAAAAAATAAAAGCCACTAAGAAAAAATCTCCAAACCCTGACATGTTATCATTTAATGATTTACATGTATGTAAGATTTCATAGGAGTGAATTTTGTGGAAATGAATATTTTAAATAAAGAATTAAAAAACCCTTAATTCTTTCAATTCTGGAGCAATGATTAAATAGTTTCATTTTAATTTTTGATCTTGTAAAGAAAAAAAATTCTTGTTTTATAAAAATGTATTGAAAAATCTTGAATTTAAAAATGAAATATTTCTAAATAAATGGAAAATATATTTCTGGGATTTGTAAATAAATATGCATGGAAAAAAATAAAAATTCATAAAAATAACTATGATATAGATTTAAATATAAATAATATTTTATTTTTTTAACTTACAAACAATCTACATATAATACTGATAATCAAACTCTTTTATTCAGTAGTTAAATATAAAAACACTAAGTGAAGCATATTGTAAACCTTAATAATTTATTTTCACCTACCTGCATCTCTATATGTATATGGAATATTTTTTATTATTCAAACTGAAAAACTTAAGAGAAAATATTAAAGGAAATAAATCAACTATACACCAGCAAAACACATTGATTTTTACCATCTCAGGATATCTTATTATCCAGAGATCTAGTTATCATATTATTGGGATGAACAACTCTACTATTAAGTGATAATAAATAAAATATAAGACCTAACTTTTTACAAGGTTGGATTATACTTACCACCACTTGTATTTAGCCACTGACAAATGCTGTATTACTTTTCACATCAACAATAATAGTGAAATTTAAGTAAAAACAAATTAAAAGACTGGCAAAGTAAGCAAAGAAGAATTTTTTTATATTTTCAAAATCAAAAATGAATTTATCAAATAAGTAAAAATTTGTAAATGGATAAATCACCATTTAATATTATAAATAAAATTTATATTTGTTTTTTATTTCATCTCAAATTTTAGAAAAAAGTTATACTATTTATATGTAAAGAAAAACAGACTAGTAGAACAAATAAAAGTGGAGATATTAACTGATAATATAGAATGTATAAAACATGAAAAATTTTGAAGCAGTTAGTTGATTTGTAATTTAAACTGGAAAAATAATAATTTTTTTATAAAAGATATTACATCAAAACTTTAACAAATAAAAAACTTATTTTTTTGTATAATTATATAAAGAATTTTTCTTTCAGAAATTAACAAAGAAGTCTAAGGGAGAAAATTATTTAAAAATTATTTTATTCTGTTTTTCATTTCATGAGAAGAAAACATTTATTCATATGAGAAAAACTCACATGAAGAGAGGATTTTATTGACAGCAACATTTTTGACAGTTACCATCATTCTGGTATTTGAGTAGACATTATAAAAACTTTTAAAATCAAATCTTTTTTAATGTAGTTATAAATTTTCAATAATTTTGTAGTTTTGCTAAAAACAAATATAAAAATATATTTTAATTATCAGAAAATACTAAAAATGCTAATCACAGCTAGCCATTAATTGTTCCTACAAGGCAACAATAGAACATAGAGTTTGTACTTTTAGAGGGAAGGGTAACTTGATTAATTCACAACTTTATTCAGAGAGAAGTGTAGAAGGTGCTTTTGTGGATATTTTACATTTTTCTATTTTTAAAAAACATGTTAGTACATATTTTCTATGTTTTTACAATCTTAAAACATTCTCATGAAAAAATTTAATTTATATTTTCAATGTGACACATTGTAAAAAACTAATAAAAGTGGATAAATTAAATTTTATTTTCTGAAAACCTTGTTTATTTTAAAACATCAAAGAAGAAAGTAGCTTTCAAAAATATACCAAAAAGCTTTCTTCTACTCACCATAAATGTATTTTTGATTTTGTTAATATTTTCATATTTCTTTACATTATATTCCAAAAATACATTGAATAAACATTGAAATATTAACAAATTTGTTTGCACCTTATTGTTTTCTAATCTTTAATTGATGATGTGCATTATTTTCATAGGATTACTTTTATCATTCATGAAGTGACAATATTTTATATAACATTTCTCTTTAAAAATAAAGTTAGAATAAAAAGTTTTAAATATAACAAATAAGATTAAAGTTTAAATTTGATTTATCATTTCAAAGTAAATTTATTTTTGTTTGAATAATCACTATTGACTTCAACAAAATATTGCAAAATCTTGAAAACTATGGATTCTCAATGATTCTTAATCAGTATCCTAATGGTTTCTGAATTTGGAGAACTATTTACAACAGAAATTAACTTGGCAAAATATTTTACTTTAATATCAAATATGAAAGTAGATTTAAAACAGCTACTAGCCTGAGATATTGGGATATGTATGCTAATTAAAGATACACTAATTTAAGAAATACAGGAAAATTGTTGGAAAAATGAAATTTAATCCAAAAGATATGAAATTCATTGTATCTACCACAATGAAGGAAGCATTAATATGAATTTAGACAGAAATGGAAAATTCATCAATAAGCCCTTCAGATTGGAATATAGATATTGCCTTCAAAATAGCCATAATTAACCAACAAAAAATTCAATATGGAAATAGTAAACCATATAATAATAATGTTTTTTAAAGTCACTAACACACAAGGAGTTACTGGATGTGGAGGAATTAGAAAACAGAAACATTACTAAGGAGCAACAATAAGAGAAAAGTAATCAAGAAGACAGTAGATAAGGATTGACATTGCATTTAAATTTTAGAAGATTAAAGTAGACTGGCAAGAATGGAGCAAGAAGAGAGTTCCACAAGTGAGAAGTGTGAAACTATTAGCATAGAACTTATGGTTACATCTAGCCAATTCAACTGTAAATTGATGAGACCTCATTTCCAGTCTAGTACTGTGCTTAAATTCATAAAGTCTAGGTATCATAATGAAGAGCTCATCCAAACAATTAACATGAAAGTATTTATAGAAAAGGCATAGGGAGGAAAGTGACTGAAATCAAGATGCCAGGTCAGGACCGATAATATTGTTGATTTTTCTTTAGATTTTATCAAGAGTCTCTAAATATATATCAGGAGCACTGAACCATATGTGGCAGAAACATTCTAAGCATGGGTGAATAGTAGACTTATAGATATGTCAGATAGATTCTGAAGAAAAAAATTGTCTCACATGATAGAGTGAACCAATGTTCTTAACAGCCGACCTAGCAATGGAGTCAAGATAGTTTTTCACTTCATGTCAACCAAGAATGTTAGCCCAAGAAGGTGCAACGAGTAGCCATACTGGTGGAAGACAGAAGGGTTTATCTCAGATGATTAATAAACGGCTTACAATCAATGAAGACCATTAATAACTTTTGATTTAGCAGGTTTGTATGTAAAAAATTGCCTGTGTCCTTTCTAATTTATCTGTTTATATCCAGTCCTATCACCAGGCATCTTAGCACTAAGATCAGTGTCAAGATGACTGGTGACAGAACTGAGTGTAGGAAGAGTTCATTTCCTGCTCTTTTCAAAAATATTAGTGCAAAAAATCCACACTAAAAACAATAGAAATTACTAATGAAAATTCTTGCAGGAAAACATCATTTTCAGATATCAACAGTTTATTAAACTAAACAGTGATTATTTTTTATAAAAAATTAATTTTGAACTGTTTTTTTTAATTGGATGAATACCTACAGTAATTTCTTTTGAAATAAAATAATCCAAATAATGTATTGTTAGTGTCATAAAATTTTCAGTATAAGAATATGAAATATATTTTCATTCAACATTTTTATTCAACATTTTTGTTATTAGCTTTGATTAGGTTCATCTTTTTGCTGCTTTTTTTATCAACATTTTCTGCTGATGTATTCTTTGTCTAATAGAGTAAATTGAGGCATTTGGAAGAAAGAAATAGCTTTGAATGAAACTTGGAGGGCTAATTGTTTGCTCAAAATTATTACAAAAAGGAGCAGAAAAAAGAAACAGATTTTCAAAACTATTTAGAAAAAAAGTAGAATGATGAAAATCCATAATATGACAATCTCAAAACAAATTTGTATTAAAATCTTTTGAATTTGATGAAACATTCACAATTTCCATTAAGTATTTCTTCATTAAAGTAGTGCATGATTGTACTTATGAGTAATTTGCTTTTATCTTGCATTTATGGCATTTCATTTGCAAAGAATTAGAAGCTTTAAATTACAGTCTTTCAACCTGTACAAACAGATTTTCCAAACCAATTATGGTCAATCTTAAGTTGGAAATCTAAAAAAAGGTCCCAAATAGTATGCTATGGTGAGTAACAAGCATTCATGATTTGATAAAGAATATTTTAAAAAATATTTGATATATTTGCTTCCTATAGAATCTCAACAAGGTTTAGACAACATTGTGTTATATACAGATAGCTTCTTTTGTAGCTAAATACTATAGCATGTCAGGCTATATGACAGTTCTGTATAGGATACAGGTTTGATTCCTGTTGGAGGACATATATATTTTATGAAATTTCTTTAACATTCAGGCAGGTAAATGTTAACATTGTTTATTATAAAGAGAGCATTTACTTAAATATTTGTATCTATAAAAATAACATATAAACAGAAATATATATATATATATAAGTGGACATTGAGGTCTGCACCGAGTAGTAACAGTCTAATACATAATTGAATCCAATATTCAAACAATATGTACTGTTGTAGCTTGACTATTTATATATGCTGGTCAATAGTTTATTATGAGTTGCAAGGTCAGTTATTTCAAATATATGAAATAAAACTGCTGCAGTTTACCACAAAGCATTAGACTAAAACAATAAGCTTGAAATCACCACTTGGTGTAGACTTCAGTGTTCACTTTTATATTTACACATGCTCTGTCTCTGATATTGAGCAATTTTACCCATAAATACAGCATACCTTAAGCTATATTTTTATCATATACATATATATATATATTCTTTTCAATTGTAGTTGTGGTAGAGTTAGTGGGTAGAACAATATATTTTTTAATCCATTGTTTTTGTCAGGAGGGGCTGTTTTTCTATTTTGGAATATTTTATGAGCCTTTTGTTTTGCATTAAATATGAAATAGGGTAGTGGAGGGTCTTGAAAATGTTTTCAGTGTATTTCTCCTCTTTGTGTAAATATTGTGGAATGCAAATTCTGTTATTATTTTATTTTTATGATGAGAATGCTGTCAACATGGTGTAGTATGATATCTAGGAAGAGTAAGGTATTATTTTCTTCCAATCCATATGTAAATTTTATTGTATATTTGACTTTGTTTAGTTTATCATGTAAATCAGTATCAATGGAGATATATTAACAGAGAATCATCAAAATATTAGAGGTATGTCAATCGTTTAGGTAAAATATCTTGGATTCAAGAAAAGCTAACAGAATAGAAGCCATCACTCCAGTAAGTAGTGATCCCATTGGTAATCCAAATTTTTGTTTGTAAATGCTAATATTAAATGTGAAATAGCATTGATTGGTGAGGAGATGGTAGATATTTATTATTTTAGCTATTGGTAAGGAGACATTTATCTTTGATTGTATTATATTCTTTTTAAAGAGATTTAAGCATTTTCAAACTGGGACATTAGTGTAAAGTGATTTTATATCTCGACTGTCCATAAATTTGTCAGTCATATTTGTTTCCCTTTGTTTTTCAACAGGGCTTCCTAAATTTTTTATATGTGATGGACTAATTGTTCCAAGGAGAGGGGTTAAAATTCTGGGATCCCTGTTTTGTGGATTTTAGGGAGACTGTAAAGTTTGGGTATCCTAGGGTGATATTCTATTAGTATATACTATGACATCCCTCAGGATGAAACAACTCACATGAAACCTTTTACACTTTGTCATACATCTTTCTTCCAATACATATATATATATATATATATATATATATATATTTTTTTTTGAAGAAGGGATTCAAAAAGAATTCTGATGTTTGGTCATTTGATCAGGTTTTAGAAAAGTGAGTCAGACAGAGACTTTTTGGTGCACATTTGTACATATGCGTATATAAATGTAGATGCTGCAGTAAGTCCATTTCCTACTAAATAAAAAATTTTTTACACAAGAAATATCTATTTTTCAACATAATGTCTTTTGACAACATATGTAAGCAATAATTCTTCATCAGTTGCATTATACAGTGAAAATTTCAGATAAAAATTCAACTATTAATTATATCCAGCAATGGACTAGTTGATTCACTCTCATATATATATAAGAGAGAGAAATAGAAAAGAAGAAAGGGGGATAAGATGAGAGTCCTTAATCTTAGTTTAGTTTAGCAAAAAGGGACAAAATAATGAGGACATGTAAGTATGAAAATTATATTGTATCATTTTTCCATGCTGTTTGCATGTGTACCATTTAAATCAGCATTCAAAATCCTGGTTTTACTTGGCCTCAAGTATCTCATCCTCCAAGTATTATATGTACATACATACATACATATATGAGAAGAAAATCTAAAATCTTGATCTTTATATTATACATTGTGTCAAGTTTTTCTTTAATATGTCTTTAAAATTTACTTTTATTATCTTTTATTAATTGTTTAAATAATTTCCTTCATTTGCTGAATCAAGACTGATGGATTTTGGTAATTCCTAAATATTCTGCTATATATATATCATCAGCATCCAAATATTTTTCATTATTAAAGGCTGCTGTAGACTGACCAGTTAAGTCTAGGTTTGAGCAGCCACTTCCAGATGAGCAACCACTTCCTGACTGCTCTTCACAATCCCCTGATGAACAGCCACTGCCAGATTCCATTAAACAATCCCCTGATGAACAGCCACTGCCAGATTCTCTTAGACAATCCCCAGATGAACAGCCACTGCCAGATTCCATTAAACAATCCCCTGATGTACAGCCACTGCCAGATTTCCTTAGACAATCCCCAGATGAACAGTCACTGCTAGATTCTCTTAGACAATCCTCTGATAAGCAACCATTATCAGATTTCCCTAGACAGTCTCCTGATGAACAACCTCTACTTGAATAGTCTGAACCCTGGTCAGTTCTTTGTTTAGCATATACCTCAGTTATAGAAGTTACTTGTGGCTGGAGTGTACTGCTCAATTTGATACTGAGATGATCTTTCTTGGTTGCTTGGGGCTGAGTAGTTACTTGAGCAGGACCACTTGATTCCACGTAAAAGTCACCATCAGAATTTGATAGAGAATTTTTTTGAGACTCTATATTTACCCTATCTAGACTTTCTCCTGACTTATCTCCTCTGCTAGATATTTCCCCACTACCAGATATTTCCCCACTACCAGACATTTCCCCACTACCAGACATTTCTCCATTACTAGATATTTTCCCACTTCCAGACATTACCCCACTACCAGATATTTCCCCACTACCAGACATTTCCCTACTACTGAACATTTCTCCACTTCCAGACATACTGCCACTGCTTGTGGAATCCCCACTACCAAATGTTTCTTGTGACATGTGAACACTATTTGGCTTATTAACAGTTGTCTGTTCAATTTTTAAAAGGCTTGGTTTGTCGGTAGTTGTATGCTCTTTTACCAAAATAGATGACATTTCATTAGATACATCAGTACTGCCAGACTTGTTTTCTGTTCTAGAACCTTCTGGTAGTGATTTCCTATTTCCAGATACACCTTGCTCTGGTGGCTCAATATAAATATCAGTTTCTGTTGAACTGGAATCTTCCTTTTTACCATTGTATTCCCTGTCCAATTCATCAGAAAATCCTGATGCTGATTCATTACCAGAACCTGATCCAGATTCATAACCAGAACCTGATCCAGATTCATTGTCATAATACTCAGCAGGGAACTGATCTGGAGTGCAAACATATCCTGAAGGATCAAGACATTCTCCTGATCCATAATCAGCTAAATAGGTATCATTGCCAGACTCATCTGACCACCACTCACCAGTTGTGTTCAAGATGGCAGAAAGTCTGCTTTGTGTACTGTTAAAGAAAACTCTTGGTTTACACAAATCAGGATCACCACGCCTGAAATATTAAAACAAATTTTCTCTTTAAATCTTTATGCTATTTACTGTCAATTTGCATAAAAATTCAAATAATTACACATTTAAGAAATAAAAAAGACAAAACTATTATTAATTGAAAATGATTAATTATAAAAGTTTTGCTGATTTTATTAATATTGAAAAATATTTCACATTACCTGTCAAACTGATAAAATGAATTTAAAAAAATTGAAATTAAATTAATGCTTTCTTTATATTAATAGTTACTGTAACTGAAATGCAAATATTCTTGTTTAGCTTACATTTGAAATTTATAAAGTAATTTTTTATATATTTTTAATAATTTTGAGAAAAAGAAAAAATATATTTATATTTTGAAATAGTAGCAAATCAGATCAAAGCTGAAGGAAAAAAAAATTATAAAAAAACAAATCTTCAAAAACTGAACAAATTTGGGGAAAATGTAAATTATTTGACATCATTATTCTCTCCTTGATTTATTTATATCAAAACTTAATATTTTAAATATATTTTGACTATTTATGTTTTATAAAACTTTAGAAAACTTGAAATGTCAACATTTTATAATGCTTTACAGATCTTTATGTTTTATAAAGCCTTAGGTAATTTTACATTTTTTAAATTATATTCTTATATTCTGAGATAATTAACAGCTAAATACAAATTGTGCCAAATATATTCCAGTTTTTTCAAAGGTTTTAAATGAAATAGATTAATTTCAATTTAATAGACTGACTAAAGCATATATGTATGTGTAGGAGGCTATTTGAATGTCAGATCAATTCAATGCAGAGTATATTCTGGCTCTTATGATCTAATATAAAGTGCAATTGGTTCAAATTCCATTAGAATAAAATATTTTTATTTTTTAATTCTTTCTGATTCAGATTCATAATTATGAATTCTCATCAGATACAAACTGAAAACATCCATTATATCCAAAAGACCTGTCTGCCAATGAACTTAGCTTAATGCCACTAGGTGCCATTGTTTTCAGTACTATATAAGGGAGGGACATAAATCCTCTCCCTCTTCTTTTTGTTCTTAGTGTAGCAATAACAACACAGGAATATTCCTCTATAGGCAGACTACATAATCCCCTGGAGACTGACTATTTAATTTAAAACAAACCATATGGACACCACACACACACACACACACACACACACACACACACACACACACACACACACACACACACACACACAACACAAAAAACACACACTCATCAGCTGCAAAAAATAGTAGCACCTATTTGTTAAAAACTGGTGACCAACAGCAGCAATCTTGTCCGTTACAATCCTATAGCACTCCTTTCTACAGACCGTTTTCATCAGTTGACTTGCTTTTAAAATATAGTGGAAATGAAATACAGACAGAAAATTGCCAATTGCTACTAATAATGGTAGCACACCATCAGTCAAAGAGACTATTATTAGTGTGGCTTCTCTGCCAGAACAGAGCTGATGCAAACCCTGTATATGGTTATGAAGAAAGAGTCTACTAGCTTCCCCATGACACAGTTGGAATAGTGAGCTGAGGGGTGTTAGCTATACAAATGATTCCTTTTGCTAGGCAACTGCTAAAGTTTTAGGGTCAATAAAAGCAGCCACATTTTCCAGGAAATGGGAGACTGGCAGTGCACCTTGTTGACCGTATAATGTGATTGCTGTGCATTACCAAAGATTTCTGTTTAGATTACCCAGCATCATTTGAAATTTGTTTATGTTCTGGTGCCTCAGCTGCATTTGGGAGTCTTGTTCATGCCCTGCTCATCATCATCCAGTGTTCAGATTCTTTAGTGTCTGGTTCCAGTGCTGTTGATATTTCTGTCCCACTTCATTGGCAGATACCCAACTAATAAGTAGAATTATTGGCAATTAGGATTTGTAAGAGTGATACTGTATAAGCTTCACTAACATGAAGAATAGATCTGCTTAGATTCTGACCAAAGCTTCATAGAATAACACCTGAAATACTAGGAAAAAACAGGTGAAAGATGGAGTGATCATAAAAACATTTAAGAGTGAGGGAATCACAAAAGACAGTACTGGAATAATATTACAATCTTAAGAAAGAAAGAATTGTGTCCAAAACTGATGTAATGAATATACATACACCTAGGTTCCACCTCACAGTAATATGATTGGCTGGTGTCAGCCATAAATACAGACTGAGGTGGAGGTACAGGATGACACCTATTGGCTACGCCTATAGTCTTTGCCTATTGCCTACGCCTATTGCCTACCACTACGATGAGGACCAGTCCATTACGGTTACCTGATAGATTGTCCTACTCGGTTATAGTAGTCCAAAACCACTTTGCTACTTTGAACAAATATATCCCTTTCTGGGACATATCAAAAACTCAAATAGAAAGACAGTTGATGGTTGGTGAATGTGACTGGAAATGTACTGTTTGTAGCCCATCAAAATATGGAACTTTTTAAATGTACAGGTTTGACTTGTCATTAAAAATCAGTGAGGAGTGATGAATAAATTAATCTATGTGAAGTGCCAGAGGGTTTTAGCAATATTTCTTAGAAATTTTGGAATAAATGAACAGCATTGAAGGTATAAACAAATAATATATGTTTATTTATTTGACATTTATTGGAGCAAGTCCTTTGTAATTTGAGTTGGCAAAAGTTTTTTCAGCTGGGTAGTTGATAGTTTACAAGTCAGACTTTGGTAATAGTTGTCATCTTTTTGGCAGCTGTTGGGATTGTGGTTGTTACTTTGGAAACTTGTTACTGATGTCAATCAGTGATGTATTCAAAAGGCAGAAAAATTTCAAGATGACCACATTGTTTCTTCATGTGATACACTTGGCTGGTTTCTTTGGTTGTCCCCTTTTGCTGCCTGTCATCTGTCTCTTTATATACAATTAAGAAAGTTCCAGACTACTCTGTGTGAAGCTTGGTGTTCTCTAACATCAAAAATCCCTTTGTTTTTTGATTGGCCAAAATTCTTGATGTTCCTTTCTTTTTCATTTTTTTATAGCAGAAGTTATGTGCAAAGCCTCCCTTATTTTTGTAGATTTCTAGTCACAATAACTAGATCCTGGATCAACAAACTTCAATTTTGCAGCTGTTGTTTAGTCTTTTCTTCTTTTTTGTTTAAGGGTTGTCTTCTCATTAGTTGAGAGAGAAGTATAGGGAAAAGGAGGAGAGAGAGAGAGAAAGAGAAAATAGATATGAGTTTTAAGGGAAGCAAATGCCTTATTTTAATTTTTTTTATATATTTTATTTTCATATTTTATTTTGTTTTTTTACATTTGGGCTCCCCACAGTTAAAAGCAAAATTAAAAGGAAGAGAAAGATTTCTATGTTTGTTCTTATGTTAAAATTAACTGCCGTGAAATATGTCACTAGATGGATATTGAATACCACAGATTCATTGGCAAATATTGTAGAAGAGAAACATCATACATAATACAATAACCTTGATCTTCAAAACAAAGATTTCAAATTAATTTATTGTTTAGATAAACTAGGCAGGAGTATATCAAATCAACCATGTATGTGTGCATATTTGTTTATATATGTGTAATATAGTAACAAATCCAAGTGATATATTTCCTTCAAAATTGTATTGCTGGTAATAATTTTTTTTCAAAAAAGTATTGCTGGTAATAGTTAACTATTTGCCCATAGCTGGGACCCTAACAGGTGCTATCACCCCAGGCCTGGGTGGACCTGGGAACACCAGCAATTACACGCTCCTCAAAACCTCCTGTATTTGTGTTTGCATGAAAGGAAATTAATCAGAATTAGAAAGTAAATAATTCTGGTTTGATGAAAGTAACTTATCCCAGACTCACTTACCGCAAAGGATCAACAATTTTGTATACTTTTCCAGCCCTTACAGAAGCACTAGGCATTCCAGTTGTAAGCATGTAGATTTCTCCTAAAAACAAAATTTTAGAATATTTTTAATATAATTCAGTATTTACATTTTTTGTATTGTATCACTTTTTACACTCATGACAAATAGAATTTTGTTTAAAATGTTGAAAGAAAACATCTGATTTCTTAAAAATTCTATTTTATTTCAAATTAAAAATACTAAAATTTTTCCCTTGGAAGAAAATATAAGTATTACAAATTAATATTTACACAGCAAAATTCTTAAAAGATTCAAGTTAACTTTTAACATATCTCTTCTCTTAAGCATAGAGAAAATTAAGTAAATCACTTTTAAAAACTATTTTGTTTTGAAGTTGGGATGAGAGGATTAAAAAAGTATTTCTTTTAATGAGGTACATTCACACCACACATTGATATCTTTATTCTTTCTCATTATCCTACTGCTTGTTGCTGATCAAAATTCTAAACTTGCATTAGTACAGACATGAACCAAATTATCAAACAAATGAGTGATAAATGAATAAAAAAAGACAGACAAAGCCTGGTTATTACTTATGTAATAATTTTTTTTCCAGATTGATCTGTCTTATACATATTTTTTCGTTTTGCTTTCAATTTAATCCAAACAGTTCCAATTATTTCAATATTCAATGACTTTTAATATATATCTAAAGACCTTGTAGTACTGAAATAAAACAAAAAATTTAAAAAAAAAATCATTCATTTCATATAAAATCTATTAATAAGGTTATGTGTCAGGGTTATTATTATTTAGTATTTAGAATTATTCTTTCTATTAGGTTAAAATAGAGAATGTTCAATATTTATAATCTGAAACTATAAAAATTGAGTAATGAATAAAATTAATTAACCATAAACCATCAGGTTTATATAAGTAAATATGTACAAGTCAAATTAGTAGAAAAATTTGAAAGAGCAACATCTTTTAAAACAAAGTAAATTAACTTTTAATATTAATTGTTTAAGAAAACTGATGCTAAAACACTAATGCAAGTAGCATCTACCTGTACACCATCAATTTTTTCCTAAATAGGATTCTACTCTTAAGAATTAATAGAGGTAATAATCATGAGTAATCTTTAAATGTGATGTAGGATTTCCATCAAGACATTAAATAACCTTATACACTAAAGTGTATCTAATACTCAGTCTTATTTTTATACATTATGTTGCTCAGATTTAATATTTTTGAGTGAACAGGAATAAATAATTTTACTCAATATGGTCAGTAAAATTTGGAAAGCAAAGAAAATCTTTTCATGATGACAGTAAATGATCACACAATTAGAAAGTAAATAGAATTAATTTCAGTAAAATAATTCAAGCAAAAGATGTGGAAAGAGATTAATGAATCAAAGAAAGACTTCTTAAATATGTATTAAAAGGTATGGAGTTTGACATGTTTTGCTGAAAAGGGCAAATTCTAACAAAAATTGCAAATGTCTAAGATTTGGATCAAGAAATTGAGAAGGGCATAAAATAATGACAGCAAAAATCTTTAAGGACATTCCACAGGTTAAAATACAGTGGCTAACCAAATGTAAAGTTGATTGGGCTCATGAAAGAACAAAGAAACTAATCAAATTACAATAAATGTGTACATTATTATAAAATGAGTAAGTCAAGTAAAAGTTGAAGGTCATTTATACCATCTTCATCTTCTCCAAATGAAAGGATAAATGGTTCATAATATCCTTGTAGTCCGCTTAAGCAGACATCACTTCCACACATGAAGAGCTCTTTATTCATCCACATTTGTGTTGTCTTGTTTTCAAACAAGCGAAACAGTCGGCTAAAAGATAAATAAAACATCAAAACTAAATCTGTTTTTCCAAAATTAAATTAACTATATTTGTGAATTCACAACCAGTCTCAATGATAGGCCAAGAGTATGAGATATTAATGAGTCAGATTATAATTTCACCAACTCAGTTTAAGCACTAAAAGAATTATTTAAATTTATTAAAAGGTGTAGAAGACATTAAAACCTTTTGCCAGGCATGCATGCATGAAAAACTATCAGCAGAAGTAACCCGATTTTAGCTTTTGAGCATACTTAAAAAGAAAAAAAATAGGTAGTATGTATGGTGTGGACCTGAGAGGTAAGTTTTCTTTCACTGTGGGCTGACATTGTGACAGGATGCAAAAAATTAGCACTCCATGTAATAGACACACTATGGCATCAGCAGTACACCTCAATTTGTCAACAGAGAAAGTTCAACTTTTCCTTTATTATTTCAACAAAATCCACATTAGCAAGACTATACTATGGAATAGAAATAAAGTACCTTGATGAAAATTTTAAATAAACAAAGTGACTCACAATGGAGTTAAGAGCAAATAAGAATACAAGAGGTTATGTACAGCAAAAGTAGATAATTCCAGAAGAGTCCAAATCAAGGAAATTAATGCTTATGGCATATGAAAATATCCTTTTGTAGGGTGTGGTATTTGTTGCGGTACAGGGCAGAGATCTTATGGCATGCAGTACTGTGCCTATAACAACTTCCCACTGAGGTTCTCATAGATTTTTTGAAGTCAAGGCCAATGTAACATGCTTCCAGATAATTCTATTGTATCATTCACATTGACCATTCCCTTGCGGGTTGTAAGGGGTTGTTCGACTTGTAACTAAAATCAGAGCAGTGAAGTATTCACGCAATTCTTTAGATAGAAACAAGGAACCCTGGTGGGAGTAGATGTCGAAAGAAGTTCAGAACATGCTGAAAATCTAAGTTAAGCATTTAATTACCACACTATCCTACATGCAAGCCACTAGTAGACTGCTGGTTTGCCACCAATGGCAACACCAGCAGTCCTCTGGCAGCAGCTATTGGCAGGCCACCACTGGACCTCTAGTGGTTCGCCAGTGGTAACATGTCAAGACAAACATGCCAGTGGTCTAACAGTGGGCCACCAGTGATAAATGTTACTGATATGTCACCCAGTGGCAGTTGGTGGCTTGCATGTAGGGATTGTGGCAGCAAAGCAAAAGGAAACTGAATTTAATTAACTATTACCTCACTGACTCTTGCTTCCCAGCCTCATCTGTTGTCCCATTTTTAAGAACTCTGGAGACCCTACTGGCCCATCTAACTACCCTCCCATCAGTCTCCTACCATTCTTCAGCAAAGTCTTCCAGGCTTTAATCAACGCTGAAGTGGTTAAGCACCTTACATACCATGATCTACTCTCTGACAAAGAACGTGGTTTCTGCTTTGCCTAGTCTACTGCTGATGTGCTTACGGCCATAACTGAATTTGTATACCAAGCTCTTGATAATAATAGTGATGCTCAAGCTGTGGCTCTAGATATCACTAAGGCATTTGATAGTGTTTGGCATGCCAGCCTTCTTCATAAGCTTCAGGAATATGGTACTACAGGTTGATTATTTGATTTAATCTAATCATTCCTGTCAAACTGTGAAATGAAGGTCATCCTAAACAGGTTCCCTTCCAGTTCCTTTCATATAAATGCTGGTGTTCCCCAAGGTTCTATCTTGGGTCCTACACTGTTTCTGATCTTCATTAATGATCTTCCTGATGTAATCAGGTCTCAAGTAAGCATCTACACAGATGACACTACCATTTACTAATGTCTCAATAGTAAATCCAGCATTGCTGACAAAGTTAACCTGGCTATTAGTCTTGAAAAGGACCCCCAATCTGTGGCAGAAAATGGCTTGTAGACTTTAATGCCTCCAAACTGCTCACATTTACCCACCATAGACAAAACTCCTTGCCTCCTATCAGCTTGGCTGATGCTCAATGAAAGAAATAGTGAATATTTTTCCTGTTAGTTTCACTGGAAGAACTCTGAAAATGTCATGGAAGCATGCTCAACTCCACAAGGTTTTTCTCATCTGAGTCCATCCTTCAAAACTACCATTCATTCTTCCATTGAATACTATTGCCATATATGGTCTGGTGCCTGGCTGTTCATATTGAGGTTCTCAACAAAATCCAAAGATGGATAAGCAATGTGATGGGTCCTGACCTGACATCTCGACTACAGTCACTTTCTCACAGATGTGATGTGGCTTCCCTCTGTGTTTTCTACAAATATTTTCATGGAAACTTCTTTGACAAGCTACTTTCACTGGTACCCTAACTGCATGAATTTAAGTGTGCTATTAGGTTGGCATCATGGTCCCACCTTTTCACTGTCATAACAATTAAATGCAAATGCCTTTTCTACTCCAACAGCTTCTTTTGCTCTTCCTGACAGTGGAATTCTCTTCCATTTACTTGCTTCTCTGATAGCTATAATCTTCAAATATTCAAATGTAATGTCAATCAACATCATCTGATGCCTTTATCTTGATCTCCTTCCTTCTCTTTATCCTTTCCTCAATCACCCCTCTTTACTCTTACTCTCTGTAACACCTTGCATGCTAGTGGCTCTTCTACCTTGCTTGGTCCAAAATGCTTTAAAAAAATGGCTAGCTGCAGAGATCTTCAGCTAAACAAGTTGACTAATGGGACCAGCCCTGTTGAGGGTGGAAACACAGCAGACAAAAGTTCTTGTATCATGCAGTAGTGAGATCACACCAATGAATAGTGTGAGTGTGGCACTCTGCTCAATTAAAACTGAACCCCATCCTTAGTCAGTGCATACTTTTTTTAATGTCTTCCATTGAGTAAGGTAGATTCCTGACTTGGACAGTTGAGTTAAAAGGAAATAACTGAGACATCCAGAAGAAGCACGGTACATGGAACTAGAACAATCTACCCTGGTGGACGAAATAAAGGGTTCGGTTCAAAATTCCAATCACCTGGAAAAGGCCAGAGCATACAATGGTTGAAACGTTGTGAATATGGCAATGAAGATAAGGATAACCATTTAAATAATGTAAATGATGTAAACAGCATATGCCTGTTTGCAAATTGATTCATTCTGGAGCCTGTTGTATTTTAGTGTAGGTGTTGCTTTAGATTTCTTTAATTTTCATATTTCTATCTTTAGTTTGCATATTATTTGAAGGAGATCACTCCCACAGGTGGTGCTTGGGTATGCTTTAAAGTGTAGATCTGCATTTCTAAATCTTTTAATGATTATTTAATAGTCTATCTATTTCTCTTCCTGACCTTTTCCAATTTTACAAAGGTCTTGGGTGTTCTTCAAATCATTTGTTGGCTATTATTTGGTCATTCACTGCATATCATTGAGCTAATTTTTCTTTATATTCTTTGCACAATTAAAATCCACACTTGTTGTTTAACTATCTTGTGATTTTCTTACTTTTACATTAACATTTTAAGTGATTTGCACTGGTTTTTTACATTATCTAGTTTATTGTAAAACGTATCTATTTCATCTTTGCTTTGTAACATTTGTGCATATAATATAATGATAGCTATAGTGGATATCTTTCCTGTCAGTTTTACTAGAAGAACTCTGCCTGACAGTTTCTCAGAGTACATTTCCTCTTACTTTTATCTAAAATAATTCCTATTCATTCATTTCTCTCTTTGCATATATGATTCTGTGTCCATTGCTTGAAAAATCTTTAAACATCTAATTTCAATATACTCCCACAAAGTCTCTCTATTTTTTGTTTTACATTTTCTAATTTCCCACATTGGTACAGAGCCCTAATATTCTATATTCTGATTATAGGCAAAAGTAAAGAAAAAGTGACAAAAATTTAAAGATTCAATCTAACAGATGATTGAAATCAAAACATATAACGTTTTTAGGATCACTTTTTTTTATAAATGATTATTATAACAATATACACTTATAATAAAAAGTATTCTTATAAAAATTATTGCTTCTCGTTATGTTTAAGAAATTCTCATGATACAATGTATTAAAAGAAATATTTGGAACAATTATTTAATTTCAAAAGATTTGCAAACCCATTTGTAAAATCTCCATAGAGGTAAAATCCATTCAGGTTGGGACTTTCACATCCTCGGTAAACATGACCTCCAGTTACAGATTTGCCAATTGTATGTGGATAAGAAAAGACAGGCAACTCCTCAGGGACTGCAAAATAAAGGTAAAGCATCTAAATTAAATTTTAAAAGATCATTAATAGAGTAATTTAATAACCAAGTTTAAAATAAATGAAAATTTCCAAATATTAACAAAAATAGCAACTATTTCCTTATATTGATGTCAAACATGTATTCATTCAAAGTAAAAACACCACAAGAACTATTTCAAAAGTATTAAGTGAAAGAAAATTGTCATGAAAATATGAGCAGTGACTTAAAAAAGATTAGCAGGCATTGGATTTAACTGTGTATCTGGCATAAATTTGACTTCTTCAGACTTGAAGATTAGTCAAAATTAACCTTTTGACAAACTGTGATGTACTAGGCACTAAGGTGATTTTGTATGAGAATCATAGGATTTTCTAACATAAAAATCAGTTATTTTTTTCAGAGTTTTGGTACTTCAGATACTCAGTTCAGTCTACAGTTCCTGTTTTTTTTTACTTTTTACCCTTGCAATAGATCCCAAGATACAAACCAAAGATAATCTTAAACATAACTATATACATTTGGGAATAAAGCTTTAAAAGAATAATGTAAAACAGACAAATAAAATACACAGATTTAACAGGCTCAATTTAAGAGGAACAGTTCATGAGACATAATATTTCAGAAAGGAAGAGCTTGTTGTAAACCTGTATTCAATATAGAAATGTGTATGGGAGAAGGTTAAACAAACTTCTGTGATGAAGAACAAACAGCAGTAAAATAAATAAAATAAGTGTTTCACTAGTTGAGCAGAGGATCTTTAAAAAATGTGGATTCAAAAAATAAGATTGTCTGTTAAACAATAGCATCTTGAAATAAATTTTTAACTCTCAAGAAAGAAGCAAAAATTATTGCTTATAAGAATGAACTGATAACATGGTAATTTTCTTTCTTACTTTAATAAGGACACAAAGAAACGTCCATAATTATGGAAGGATCCTATATATATATATATATATATATATATATATATATATATATATATATATACATATTTATATACATGTATATATATAAATGCACAATATATATATATATATATATAGAATATATATTGTGTATATATATATATATATAATATATATTGTGTATATATATATATATATAGAATATATATTGTATATATATATATATATATATAGTATATATATATATATAGATATATATTGTATATATATATATATATATATATATATATATACAATATAATATATATATATATATATATATATATATATATAAATTGTATATATATATATATATATATATATATAAATTGTATGTATATATATATATATATATATATATATACAATATAAATTGTATGTATATATATATATATATATATATTGTATGTATAATATAATATATATATATATATATATATATATATATATATATAAATTAAAATATATATATATATATATATATATATATACAATATAAATTGTATGTATATATATATATATATATATATATATACAATATAAATTGTATGTATATATATATATATAAACACAATATATATATATACAATATATATATATATAAATACATATATATAAATACAAAATATATATCTATTAATACACACAATATATATATAAAACACAATGTATATATACACAATATATATATAGATATATATATATAGATATAGATAGATATGTGTGTGTATATATATATGCACTATATATATATTAATAATCAGGAGCATTAAACATGGTCCAAGATAAATATTATTAATGATACTAGTTTAACTAAAGCTCTTGTTTATCTAAGTCCTATCTCTACAAAAGAAAATTCAATGGTTGAAAAATTCTATATTGGTAGTATTAAGAATTCTTTTAAGACTAGGTGGTATCAGCATATCTTGTTCTTCACCAATAGTACTTATAGAAATAATACATCTCTAAATATTTTTCGAGTTTAAAAGTTGATAATAAATCTCCTAAGGTGAAATGGAAAATTTTTAAAATGGCAAGAACATGTATATCTTTATATGAACCATGTTTTTTGTGTTTTCATGAAAAATTACAAAATTATCAAATTTTATGATAAAAACCACTTATTTAAACAAAGTTGGTAATTCACAGTAAATTGTAGACATTGTCTACCTTTTACCCTACAATTTAGTTAAACTTTGGAATTTGATAATGGTTTGCTTACATTTTAGTTGAACTGTGTTGCACCATGTATGGCTTATTTTTCTATTTGTAAGATTAATTCAGATTTAGTGTAGTTCTGTACTAATCTCCCATTTATATTATTAACATCTTATATGATGTATTGGCAATTGGTTTGTATTTTTGACATCTTACAATGATGGGTTGTTATTGCCTGTCTATATCTCTGAGTATTATGATTACTTGCATTAGTTACATTATTCAGATTCTTATCCTCATCTTCATTGCCATATTCACAATGTTGTACACTCTGACCTTCTTCAGGTGATTGAAATTTCGAACCGAACCCTTTATTTTGTTCACCAGGGTAGATTATTCTAGTTCCATGTACTGGTACTGAACTCACAACTCTTTGGGTCTTGTCACTGGATTTAATCAACATCTTTATCCACTGGGCCATGTGTCCTCAAGGCTTCTTATTTATCAAATACAAAAAAAATTATGTAGGAAATTCACAAAGCATATAAAAAGTTTGTATTAGGTTAAATTACCTCTCTACACCTCTGCTTTTATTTCTTGGGAAAGTTGACTGATATGCATACACTTTATGTAACAATCTGTATCTGTCTTTAATTTCATGTCTGGCTGCTGTTGGCAGATAACTCTGGGTCATGACCCATTTTTAAGGAACTTTTAATTTTTTCTTTTTTGCTTAGTTTGAATAGAATATAGGTCATATTTGATTGGTTGATCAGGGTAAAGCATTCAATCCTTATAACCGTTTTTTCTTAGAAAAAAAGAGGATGTATTTTGCTTTTGAAACCAAATTAATTGTTCACTTGTCAATAACCAACCATGATGAACCCCTTTTCACAAAACATGCCACATTGATGTTTGGTTTAATTTTGCCAAAACGTTCTTGGACAAAGAAAATTGCTTTTGGAAACAAGTACTATGGAGTGATGAACAAAAAATTGAGCATTTTGGACATAATGATGTACAGAAGATATGTTACAAGAAAGGTGAGGCTTTCCTCACAAAGAACACAGTGGCAACATTAAAATATGGAGGTAGCTTAATGATGTTTTGGGGTTGTTTTATTTCAAGAGGGGTTGGAGAATTAATTGCAATAAAAGGAATAATGAAATCTGCAGGCTATATCAAAATTCTGGATGAATGTCTACAAGTATCAGCACAAAATCTTCATCTAGGCTTGTGATTTACTTTCCAGCAAGATAATGATCCCAAACATATCTAAATCAATGACTGCATGCTTTCAGAAAAAGAAGATTACAGTTCTGCCATAGCCTTCAATGAGTCCTGATTTTTCCTATTTTATATAATTTGCTTATCAAATTAGTTGCATTTAACCTATTTTTCTGAAATTGGGTTTTATATTCCTTTTATTATATTCATTAACATATAAAAAACCTGGAATCATTCGAGCATCAGATTCTGAGAAATGGATAAAAATTGATGGGTGTATAAATAATTTTACTCTTGACTGTATATATGCATACACACACACACACACACATATATATCTATAAGCATTGGTATGATAAAAATCTGCATGAAACTTGCGTTATCGATGTTGGGTATTATATATATTCACTAATTATATATATATATATATATATGCATATATATACACACATGCATATATATATACATGTACATATATACATGCACACACCTCTATATAAATGCACCATATATACTTACACACACACACACACACACATATATCTATCTATATATATATATATATATATATACATACACGCACAGGGTTAGGGTTAGGGTTAGGGTTAGAGATAACAATAGGATCTCGAACATCAACAATGTGATGGCTGTTAGCTAATAATTTTAATAATGCTGATAGAATGGAGAAAATCCATACCAAAGATGTCTATATTTTATTTAAGGACCACAAACCTAACTTTAATATTAATACACAATCTAGATTAATAAATCGCACTAAAACTGAACTAGGTCTAATCTTAAAAAATATAGTTAAAAAATAACTAATAAACTATTAATTACAACCTGTGCCAATCTATTGAAAGGATTCATCAGATACTATCAAATGGTTCAATAATATGAGTGATAAAAATAGAGCTACATTTATTAAGTTTGATATTGTAGATTTTTATTCCTTTATCTCCAGAGACCTCTTAGTGAATTGTATCAACTTTGTGAAAAACCATATGGAGATAACAGATGATGAAATTAATATAATCTTAACTGCTAGGAAATCTCTATTAGCCCTTAAAGTGTCTACCTGGATTAAGTGCCAGAATGACGATTTTGAATTTCCTATGGAAGCATATGATTCAGCCCATGTTGCTGATCTAGTTTGCTTCTATATTCTAGATATACTCAGACTGCAAATCGTAGACTAGTAGGCCTATATAAAGATGAGGGTCGCATTTTTGTTCCCAAAAGCAATGGTTCACTTACTGTGAAGTTAAAGAAGAAAATTATTAAAGCCTTTAAGTTACTGGGGTTTAGGATTGAGATTGCTTCTAATAACAAAATAATAGATTATCTAGATATTGCTCTTAACTTTAATAATAATACCTTTAAACCTTACCATAAAAAACATGAAACCCCCAACTACATTAATGTTCATTCTAATAATCCCCATGCCATTATGAAACAGATACACATTACTGTTGGCTCCAGAAATATCTTTAATAAAAATAAAGAATTGTATGAAAAAGCTCCGCACAAAGTGGCTTTAAAAATAAACTGTCCTACTTAAACCACATAAGCAACACTGAAGTATCTAATATGGGTTGGAAGCACAAAAATAGAAAAAGAAAAATGTTATAATTCAACACTACTCCTGTAAATTATCCAATACTAATAT